TACTATTTAATTTCTAGTGGATGAACCATTTATATATTTAAGTTTTAATCTAGTCCCATCCATTTTTTGTATACTGAGATCTAAAAAAAATTTTGTGTTTTTTTCCTGCATTAAAATTAGTATGATTTTTAAACTGAATCTTCTTAATCGAAATCCGGAAATCCGGCCGGATAACAGAAAAACGGCCGGATATCCCTAGTAAAAATCTAACGCAAACCTTAGATATATAATATAATTTTTCATTATATGGTAAGGAAGATGTTTACACATTTTCCCTATGTACGTTCGTTTGCGGTATATAATCGTAAATGCGCTTAAATTTTCTCCCCCACATTTTTACGGGTGCCAATAATCGGGTAGGGCATCACCGCTATCCTAGTGCCCGGGTAGCTCATTACGCAGGCCACATCTTCAGCCATACTTAGTAACAGCTCTCAAGAAAAATCTGAAGATTTTTTTTCATTATTTCTGTCTGCCTTTGCAGAGGAAATAAATATACGAACAGTTTTGTTTGGGAGCTGTAAACTGATTTAAGAAATTTTGATAGAAGAAAATTTCTTTTCAATTTCTTGAACGCTATTTTACATATGTACATACTACATATGTATATGAATTTTTCGTGTTTCTTTAGAACTGTGTATGTACTTGATTTAACATGGAAAATGTTACTCATACGCTACGTAGGGCTGTGGCCATATACACTAGGCGACAATTTAAAGTGCACAGCTTGTTCTAATATCTAAAATATTCTCAATAATTTTAGTGGACAATTTTTTGCATTAATTATTTTAATAAATATAGTTCATTTTATAATATAAACCATATAAATCAAACTTTATATAAAATTCGGAGATATGATCTGTCAAAGTTTGGATTTTTTCGTGATTCTGACTAATCATGTACTTATATCTCGGGATCCTAGAGACTTCATCTTAACGTCATTTTAAAGCTAAGAAATGGGCTTAACATTTCTATATATAAGATGGCCAAGGTTGTCCTAAAGCTAAGTTAGCTATTAACAGTTGAACGTTTTGAAGTTAATTTGCATAGTGAAGACCAGTAAATTAAGGATTTAACGTAATCCTTGTTTAATTCTCTATAAAAAACGTGGTTCAAAAAAATTGGCGTTTTTCAAGAACTATTTTTAAAGTATTTTTCTTTATGACGAGATGGTCTATTTTGTGAGAATCAAAATTTTTTGCAATTTTTTTCGAAAACTTATGTTAAGATATATTTAGTAAGGTGTTAAACATCGAGTTTTTGAAAGAATTTAAATTTTATTCGGGATTCCGATAGAAAACCTAACCCAGGTATTACATTTGTACGGCAAGATTTTTCTTTAAGCCGACAAACCCCTAGAAATGGGCGTGGCAATTCCAGGACTAAAATAAGCAAAACGCAGGTTTTATTGCGGATTTCGGCAGAATATCGCTTCGTTAACAATATTTGTTCCACAACTTTTTCAATCCATATAGATATTCCTGCGAAATCCACAATAAAGTCTCAATTTTTGAACTTTGGTTTTAATATAGCCACGCCCATTTCTAGAATATTCTTTGATTAAAAAAGTTGTGGAACAAATGTTGTTAACGAAGCGATATTCTGCCGAAGTCCGCAATAAAATCTGCGTTTTGCAAACTTAAGTCCTAAATTGCCTAGGGTTTTGTCGCCTTAAAGAAAAATTTTGCCATACAAATATTATACATGGATAGGCGTTCAATGGGAATCTGCAATTAAATTTAAATTCTTGCAAAAACTTGATGTTTAACACCTTACTAAATATATCTCAACATAAGTTTTGGAAAACAAATTACAAAAAATTGTTGATTCTCACAAAATAAACCACCATAAACTCACCATAAAGAAAAATATTTTAAAAATAGTTATTGAAAAACCCCAATTTTTTTGAACCACGGTTTTTGTAGAGAATTAAACGAGGATTACGATGGTATAATTTTAAATCCCTAATTACTGGTCCTCACTATGCAAATCAACTTCAAAAAGTTCAACTGTTAATGGCTAACTTAGCTTTTGGACAATCTTGTCCATCTTATGTATAGAAATATTAAGCCCATTTCTTTAGCTTTAAAACGATGTTAAGATGAAGTCTCTACGATGGGCAGAACCCGAGATGTAACGATTTGAAAGAGTACATGATTAGTCAGAATCAGGAAAAAATTCAAAGTTTGACAGATCATATCTCCAAAGAAAAAGCGACAAAAAAAAAATCCTCGAACCGGTGTTAGCTTATTTCGTGTATAGAACCCATAAAAAAAATTTCAAGCCAATCGAAAGTGTGACACCAAATTTGGTGTCCGAAATGGAAAAGAATGTCTCATATAAATATAAATGAACTTTTCATAAATAATTAATGCAAAAAATTGTTCATGAAAATAAATGCGAATATTATTAGAACAAACTGCGCACTTTAATTTGTCGCCAGTGTCACCTTCTTTTGGGCGATTTGGTTTATTTAATTCGACAGAAACTCAATTTTTTAAATTTTTTTTAGAAAACGTGTCTGATTTTTTACATCGACATGCGGATGCAATTGAAGTATTCACAGCGGTGTCGTAAGAGTCGTATTCTTGTATGTCGTAAACTTTAAATGCCTAAAAAATATATTAAGGAGGTTCGCAAAGTACCATCAAAGTCATATTATGAATTTTTGGCAGTATTAAAAAATAGCTGGTTGTGGTTTCAAGTTCTCTAAACATTTATTTAAGCTTTTAAAGTTTACGACATACAACAATACGACACTTACGACACCGTTGTGAATGCCTCATATGCAGGCCCGGATTAACAGCAGGGCCGACGGGGCCGCGGCCTGGGGCCCCCACATGAGGAGGGCCCCCACAAGATGAAATGAATATGTATATAAAAATATAAAAAATGTAAAAAAAATTGAAATGATAAAAAAATAGAAAATAATGGTTTAAAGAATTTCTCTGAAATGTAGATATTTTAATAAAATATTAGAAGGTGAACACCACCTCGCAGTGAGAATCGCAAAATCGAACAATCGATTTATGTATCGAGTAGATCGAGTAAACAAACGGCAGTAGCTGTCAAGCAAAGTAAAGACGGTTTCATAAACTTTGGACTGTCGTAGCCGATTTCGAGAAGGCGTTGTTTTATTACGTTATTTAACGTTTAAGTTACTAAGGTGATTGTGTGAAAAGTGCGAAGAAATAATGCATTTGCAATATATATAGGTGATTGTGTGGAAAGTGCGAAGAAAGAATGCATTCGCAATATATATATGCAAGATTTAATGACAAAGTTTCGGAATTCAACTGTGTTTCAATGTACCAAATTTAAATGTGCAAAATTAGGTATGGAAAAGTTTTAATTTGGATAGTTCTACTCGTTTTACAAAATATAACCTCACTGAACGCGCTATATCTAAGTTTGAATCTCTTTACATGAAAATACTGCCGCAACTGATATTACATGAAATTAGTTATTTCTTATTCAGCAAATCTTAAGCTTTGGAATTTTGCAATTATAGGATTCTGTTATGGTTAGTATTATACTATAATGTTAATAATTAGTCATTCAATGATTTTCCGTCTTTTGAAGTGATTGTGCATTTACAGGCATATGAAAACGTGACAAGATAAGAAGTAATATGGACGACCGACACATTAATCAACGAAAATACTCCAGTGGAGCAAGCAAAAGAAAACTTGCCGGAAAAAAGAAACAGGATCACCTAGATATCTTGGCAAAGACTTCTAAACTCGACAAGTTTTTTTTAGTCGCTAATCCAACTGCAGATGTATTAGATAAAGGTCATTCGTCGGTTCAAGTTGAAACTGAAAAATTATCACAAATAACTGAACAATTGCAAGCAAACACAACTCCACAGCAGAATAATGTCAGCCGAAAAGAAATTGATATTGAAGCAGTGATTTCGGAACAAAAAGAAAAAAATGTTGATTATGAAAATGATATTGGGCTCTGGGCGGAAATACTCACGGAAACAGTGATAGACTTCTGGATTAAGCGAGGGTCAACCGAATTGCAGCACTGCGAAGAAGAAGTTTTAGAGAAATTTTCCTTGCCTCAACTACGAAATGATGGATACGCAGATCGAAAATGCAGTAAAATCCTTTTTCAGCGAATACTTCCTAATAAGGAAAGGCTTATCCGTTCTTGGCTTTGTTTTTCACCTTCGACTGGCAAAATATACTGCTTTGTTTGTACACTGTTAGCTAAAGAACGTGAATATTATTTTATTAAACGTGGATTTTGCGATTGGAAACACGCTTCAGAACGGGTTGCCGAACATGAGAAATCAAAAAATCATGTTGATGCAACTGTAGCATATGCAACCCGGGTGAATCATTACGCTTGTTTAGATCAGGCGCTCCAACAACAGGTTTGTTTCACACATAGTAAAACTTTCAAAATAAAGTGGAGTTATCTAGAAGTGCGCACGTGGAAGTTATATAGCTTTAAAAAATTTAATATGCAGATAGACATTTTTTGCCGAGTAGAATACGAATTGCATAAGAGTTAGATTAGTAGAAACACTTTTTCATAATAAATGCTGTTTTTTAAAAATATGAACTATCGTATAAAACAGGATAAATGCTGTGAATTGAATTTGTCGTATTACCCATTGTGCGAAATAATGATATCATAGTGCGCACTTATCCATACGGAAATTCTTCAAATAATACGCATTGCTATTATTTCAATAACTATAGTAAAAAAATGATATAGTAATATGTTCGTAAAAATGTGTTTCATATATAGTGAATAGATTATAGTCTGCAGATACAATATTTCAGGTAACATTTTTCGCAGTTTCGTCCATATAATCATAACAGAATCGATGACGATAATCATCGGAAAATATTACACATATTTGTCTGGAGTACAAAAAAGTCATAACTGCTCAACTTAAATTTTTGCATGTCACAAACTGTAGTTCGGTTCTAGATTATTGAAAATTAACACTTTTGTTGGTGACATGCAAACAGCTGGGACGCGCCCTATCCGACAACTCCTATCTATCTTTTCTGTATTGTTCGAATTAATTTAAATGTTGATATACTTTATTTTCAGATTACAGAAAAGGTCGCATATTGGCACGAGGTACTAAAGCACCATAAAATTCATATCAGAACGTGGTTTAGCTTTTCGTGGTTCGGATGAAATTTTTGCTCACCTAATAATGGAAATTTCCTTGGGATATAGGAATTAATAGCTCAGTATGACCCATTTCTGGCTGGGCACATTAAAGAATATGGAAATAAAGGACGAGGGCACGTGAACTATCTGTCCTCTACAATATGCGAGGAAATTATAACTTTGATGGGCGAACGAGTACAAGCTGAAATGATAAGTAGAATCAGAAAAGCCAAATACTATTCTGTCTCTGTTGATTCATCGCCTGATGAAGCGCATATTGATCAATTGACTGTGACTATGAGATACATGGAAAGCTTAGAACCAGTTGAAAGATTTTTGTCTTTTATTCCAAATTCTGGTCATACAGGGGAAGAAATGGCGGATGCCTTGCTTCAGTTTTTAGAAAAACATAGCATCGACATTCAAGACTGCCGTGGTCAGTCGTACGATACTGCACCTAACATGAGCGGCAAGTACAAAGGAATGCAGGCGAGAATTTGGAACATTAATAAATATGCAGATTACATTCCGTGCATGGGACACTCTTCGAATATAGCAGGCAATGCAGCAGTCAACGCATGCACTCACGCAGTCCTTTTTTTTCAACTTTTTAGAAGAGCTTTTTGTTTTTTTTACAAGTTCAACGGCACGATATGAAATATTAAGTGCCAACTTATCATCGATTAAAGGATCTAATAGTGTCAAACGATTAAGTGACACTCGCTGGTCATCTCGTGCCGATGCTACAAAATCTGTCAAAGTTGGATTTGTTCCCATCAGAAATGCATTATGTTCAATTCGAGATGACAGTGAACAGAAAGACGTAGTGAGAAGTCAGGCTCGGGGACTAGCAAAGACAATGGAATCCCTCGAAACAGCTATATACGTTATTTTTTGGCATGACATTCTTGAAAGGTTCCATTTAACCATCAAATCTCTTCAGAATCCTGCAATCACCCTGCGGACTGCTGTTAACAGTCTCGTATCTTTGCAGTCATTTGTGAAATCCAAAAGAGATGCGTTTGATACGTACGAAGAAGCTGCGAAAGATTTGTCCGAAGTCAGCGACTATGAAAATGTCCGAGTGAGATCAGCAAATGTTCGCTTGCAACCCCTTGGCTCTCAGGTGTCGGCAGTACAACTTTCAGCAAGGGACAAATTTCGCACCGAAGCTTTTCTCCCAGTTATTGATAAATTGACAAGTGCACTTGAAGACAAAATTTCATGCTACAAGCTGGTCTTTGAGCGATTCAATTTTATTGGTGAGCTAATGCTCATGGAATCAGAAGACATCAATTTGCATGCTAAAAAGCTTGTGGAAACATACCCAAATGATCTTGAATCATCTTTAGGGAACGAGCTCATACAACTTCGAGATTTCGCGTATCTTCACGAAAAAAGAGAGAACGAATCAACTGAGCTGTTTTTGTACCGCATCATCAAAGAAAACAATCTTCAGTCTACATTTGTTAATTCAGAAATTATTCTACGTTTATATCTGTCTATGATGGTAACAAATTGCACGAGTGAAAGATCTTTCTCCAAGATGAAATTGATCAAAAGTCGACTTCGAACATGTATGGGTGAAACCCGACTTGTGCATTTGGTTCTCTTGAGCTCCGAAAGAAATATACTGTGCGAACTAAGTTTCGATGATATCATTGCTGTATTTGCAGCAAAAAAATCACGGAAAGAGTCGTTTCAGTAAAGGAGTATTCTTTTTTAGTGTAATATACTGTGAACATGTATTAAATTTGAAGTATTTATTCCCTTGTTACTTTATTCAATGCGTCATCTTATTCTCTAACCATATAATTATCTACTGCAAACTATATTTTTTTTCTGAAAAAATAGTTTGGATTGAGACTTTAAAAAGGGGCCCCCACACGTATCCCGGCCCCGGGGCCCCCACATTTTTAATCCGGCCCTGCTCATATGTCTCGTTGATTTTTTTTATTAGATTGTCTTGTCTTTCTTTCTTGTGCAACAGAGTTGTATCTTTAAAGGTTACAATTCATTTGAACAACAGAGTTGTATTTCAAAGGATATGAATGACTTATCTTAATACTGTCTATATCGCATGATACTCGTGAACCAGTGTATAGTACTACATGGCGTATGAATAATATTCTTTACTGGTCATTTTTCATACAAAAAAATTATTTCGCATTTCACATAGATTTTGTGAGTTAGTAGCTTGATTTAAAAAAAACAGGCCTTTATACTAAAACTTTAATTTATATTTTTTCATAAAAATGAAAATATCTTGGGAAAATGACCTGATCTAGAAAAAACGAATACATATTCGTAATCCACGACGCGTTTGGTTGAGCTTCTCCTCCGATTTGTGGCGTTCGCATTGATGTTGTCACACAAAGGGGAGGGACCTACAGTTTTACGACGACTCAGAACGGTGACTGTGTTTTACACTCAGATGTTTGCTATTGCCTGCCGAGAGCGACCGCTATTAGAAAAACACTTTTTTATGTTTCTTTTTGATGTTGGTCGGAAACTGGGCTTGAAGAAGGGCAAACGAATCGTAGTTTACTTGTTACCTTGTTTTTTGGTTTTAAGTAGCTATTCTTGATTTCAATATGTATCTATTGAAGGATTTAAGAAAAATTCTTTTTTTTTGGTTTCAGATGTCTCTGCAAAAGCTAACTGAAAATACAAATTCAGGTTATGTTAGCTCTGAAGAAACCGACTCACTGCTTGTATCCAATACGCCAAAATGTAAATCTTCTGTTTTACGTCACATAAAAATGAGCTCAGTAAATGGACCAACATCGAACATGGCTTCCTCATCGTCTGGAAAGCCTGCATTGATACGTCAGGATCGTACGTCAACTTATCTAACGAGCCCGCAGCTTTCCCAGCAAACTCGTCTCGGATCGGAAGAAAGTGTACGCGGGGGTGGTGGCGATGATGACATTGAACAGGGCCTGCGACCAGCAAATGTTCCTGATATTGAGGTGCATGAAGAGGATCAGACGAACCGACCGCCGAGTCAAAATAAATTAGAGTCAAACCACTTAAAACAGCAGAAAGCTCAGTCGCAATTACATTCGCGAACACAGTTGCAACAACAACATTCTCAACCGACCATATCAATAACGAATTTGAATACGTATCAAGCGTCGCAAGAGTTTGCGCATCCGCAAAGTAATCCGAATTTGGGAACATCATCATATCAGAATATCTCATGTGGCATAACATCGGGAGCCCAGAGTCGCTGTCGTGCTTGTCGAAACTGCAGCCGACGAGCATCAACCACGCCTATTTCGACAACGGCCAGTGTCGGCATGGACCGCTCAACATCGAAAGACAGTGTTAAAAGTGCCTTTCAGCAGGGTAACCTGTGCCTATCTAGTTCTGCGATGCAACAACACGCACCGCCATCTCTTCTCGTTACTTCTTCGCCTACGAATGGCTCACGCATAATTCGGCAAAGCTCTCAGCCAGAGTCCAGTACCACTGCCATTTGTTGTGGGGCACATAGTTCGTGCGGTCATTCGCACACAGTTCCCAATGTTTCGCTAAAGGTGCTGCGGGACAGTGCTACGGACGGAATTGCTGGCATAGCAGCTGATTCGCTACGCATTAATGGCGGAATGCGACCGTTTAAGCAGGTAATTTATTGATCATACTGCTCTGAGATATGTACTTGTGCATATAAAAGACGTCGTCATCAACGGAAACAGCCTAAAATTAACGTAGAAAAAGCTTTCAGGGTTGTTCAAAGAACACATTAAGTTTTGTATTTATAAAGAATTTTGGTGTTACGCTCTATCGAAAACCCCAACTCAGAATAGTAAAACGAAGGGAAAATTTTCCAGTACGGAACCAGGCGTTGGAAAAAATAAAATAAAAATGAGGGGGTGTAAAGCGGGTCCCCCTGATTCTAAATCCGAAAAAATCCGCCTCCGGAGGCTTATAGTTTTTAAGTAATTTGCATTTAAAGTTGCAAAAAATGTCAAATTCAACCTCACTTTATTATGTGTTGGTGTTGGTTGATTTTTCCGATAGGGTGGTAAGATGACTTATTTTGGAACGAATTTCCGTCATCCATTGTCAAGATTGGTTTGCAGACAAATCGGTTTCGGCGTTGTGCCATCTTCAGTGTCATTTTTCGTTCTATATAGTTTAGTTTTATTATATGCACTCAACATACATACAAGTAGTAAAAGTGTATACCGTGCCCTTATTTGTGGTGTATTTTCTTTTAAAACGTATGGTAACTAGTACACATTTGTAAAAACATTTATAAACGCGTTTTACCTAATGAATGAGTTAATAAATGTATATTGAAGTATTACAAACGCATGCGAACATTTTACGGATAGCATATTACTATAAACATTAGTGAAAAGTGACGTTCTAAATCAAAATTTGGTAATAGTAGTCGAGATATTTTAACAACAAATTTCTTAAATGCTATTAGCGCAACATTATGAAAGTGATAAATTTAGTGAAAGAAGACCTCCATTAATACCCCCACCGAGTTTTATAAAAAAATTCCATATACTTTGAATGATATAGCTATTGGTTCCGTAATGGAAATCTCAGCCACAACCAGTTTCTCCGAAAATTCTATTTCGGGCCTTTTGCATTGATAACGACGAATATACTTAGGTTTATTTATTTATTTAATGTCTTATAACAACTCATGACAGAAATTCAAGAAGTTAATACATAACAACAATAGTTAGTATGAATAATATAAAAAAATATAGCTAGTACAATTGTAATTACTAACAAAAGAAATCTTTTAAGTGCTAATTGAAATCCACAAATTTATACTGATATAAATATTTAATAATACATGGAAATAATATTAAAACGTGTGTGATGTATTAATTTGAGTAATTACATAGAAAATAATTGTTTAGTTGCATTTGAAATAAATGTTTGGTACTCCAGACGTCCAAATCCATAAAGTTTGGGAGATAATTAAACTCAGACAACGTTCTAATGAATGACGCATTAGCACTGTAGACTGTCTTACAAATAGTGTTGTTCCGATACGATTAACTACAAAGTTAATACTCGATACTTTCTCCAATTACTGAGTACTTTTTGTACTCGTATCCTTCCCGCAAGGACTTAGGTGGGTATCGAGTACGCGGTTAAAGTATTACTTGCTTTTCCAAAAATTCTGAAACGCGGTTCTGACAATATATGAATCATGCTGTAGTGGTTTTGGCAACACGTTAAGTTGGCTAATAAAGAAAGTCTCAATTACTGCTTTCCCGTACTAGTCAAACATTAAACTTTTGCAAGATTTACGACTTCTCTTTCGGTAGGTTTAGGCCGAAAGTACTCGAACAAACTAGTGGCTCCTTTTTCGGTAAGTTTTGGTCGGAAAGTACTCGAATTGATTATGTTTTTCTTCACATGACATAAGTATTTACAATGAGTTCGATATGAGTAAGTATCGAGTACTTCTCTCGGATACATTTGTAGCATCGACACTTTTCTTCAATATTTTTAAAGAGTACAGGTATCGAATACATGGTGGTATCATAACAACACTACTTACAAAAGCCAACGCGAAAAACCTTAGTACGACGAAAATTTCTGCAAGGAATATTGAAATGAATTCATTCTAGAAGAGACGGGCATTTTGCCGTTGACAAGATCAAAGATAAATCAAACCACCTGAACCTCTGTCACTTAATGGAGAAATACCGATCAGACGACAGCGAGATTCGTACGATGAAGACGGGTCTGAAAAATTTAGTGAATGCAGTGCGAAACGTATAAGAATTTTTTGAACCCTCTCCACCGGCTTTATATGTACATATGTACTGCATGATGAGGCCTCCAAATAAAAAAGAGTAATCTAATTTGAATCAGACAAACGCCGGGTATAAAATTTTATAGAAAAAACGTTTAAATCTTTGATCTCATCAGAAGAAGCAAGATATGTGTTATTTATATGATAAGATGTATTGATATATGATATGATTTTAATATTAAGAGGTAGACGATCCGTAAGACACCAACAAAATAACTTATTAAGCTCAGGCTGTAGGCCGGCTGAGTCACTAGAATTTCTTATTTCGGCATAAATTTTTAGATCATTCGCGCAGAGAAGAAATTTGGCAGAGGAAAAGCAAGAACAGATGTCATTAATAAATAAGCAAATGATAAGGGCCCCAATATACTGCCCTAGAAAATATCAGAGCTGACAACAAATTGTTTCGAAGAAACCCCGTCGATGAAAACTGTGCTGCTTCTCTTAATCAATTATTATTTAATCCATTCTAGGAAGGTCGAATGAAACCCTTTGCCAGCCAATTTAGTTACTAAACTTTTATGGGAGATCTTATCAAACGCTTTGGAGAAGTCCGTGTAGATCAAATCGATTTGGAATCCGCTCCGAAAGCTTGCATCACAATCTTCAGAAAGAACTGACAGATTAGATGGCGTATATCTAGCAGCTACAAATCCATGCTGACAAAGATTAATCACATGTTTTACGCTAAAATAAATCTTGTCTTTGACGACACATTCAAAGAGTTCAGAGGCTACAGATATTTTAGATATTGGTCTATGGTTTTAAATATCTCTCTTATTGCCATTTTTGTAGATTGGGGAGACTGATGTCAGCTTCCAATCGTCAATAAATATTCCCTCAGCCAGGGATTTATTAAAAATTAGCTTTACAGGTTGCACTAAGAGTTTTTAGAATGGCTACAGATAGGCCATCAACACCAGTTTGAATAGTTTTTAATTTTCACCAAGTACTCAATGACGTCGTCATCTGGCAGATCAAGTGAGCCGAAGTCAATTGATAAGTTTCGGCGAACGGCTTCCAAGTCTTCTTCACGAAGATCAACATCAGACACGAAGTTTGATGAGAAGAAATCATCAAATAAATTTACTGCATCTCTAATGGAGGAAGCAGTGACGTCCTTATAGAAAACGGAATTTGGAATACCAGAGGCCTTTTCCATCGATTTAGTGTATCGCCAAAAATTCTCCGGATTGGTTTTTATGTTGCCCTCAAAATTATGAATGTATTTTTTATACAACGACTTATTTAAGTGAGTAGTCCACTTGCAAACTGCGCTATGTAAATTTTTTTAGATTTTTAGTTTTTGGTGGTTAACGTACCAGTATTTAAAGTAGATTCATGTCCACTAATAATACGGTGCAAAATCCTTATATATTATGAAAAAAATAGCATCAAATGTTAGCTACTCTAGCAAAAGTCGCTATAATACTTACTGTATGCATATATACACTTTCAAAAGTCGCTATAATATTTATTGTACGTATTTATACAAGTTCAAAAGTCTCCATCTTCTGATTAACATAGAAAATTGCAAAAAACGTGGTAGTTTCGGTGCCTAGTGGAAGACGTCATAAAAAAGAAGCAGACCATCCTTCATGGAAGAGAGAACGCGAAAAGCTTAAAAAAGCTGGCTCTATAAAACTTACTGTTTCAAAACTCACTTTATTTAATTTCTATATATACAATTTGCAAAAACTACCACATTGCGATTTTGATTTTTAATGTTATTAGGCTCTTATTTATCCAAATTTTCAGATAATAAAAAGAAATATACAATTTGGATGTTACTTGTTGTTGTAGACGTTTTTTTAATTTATGGCTTACTATTATAAAATCACATAACGCTGTTTGCAAGTGGACTACTCAAGTCTCGAAACTTGTTCCTGTGGGAGATATATATGTCATAAAAGCGATTTTCCTTAGTTGACTTGAACTTCTTAAAGAACATGTTTTTCAAAATTTTTCAGATGTTTGAGATCTTTCGTGTACCAAGGATTCTTACATTTCCTACTCTTAAAAACTGGAACGTGTCTAGAACAAGGATCATCTTAAAGCACTCAGCAACTTCATTTTTACCGAAATTCATATTCCAGTCAATTTCTCGTAAAGCGGCATCTAATATCTGAAAATCAGATCCGGAAAAATTGAAGGAAGTTTTAGCAGTCTGAGGACAGGCTTCAAAAAATTCAACAAATTCAAAATCTAGCACTAAAGGTAGAATATAAGAAACGCAAATATAAAGAAAACCGAGCGCACCTTTAATTCGCACACATAGTTGGTCAAGAAAAGTATCGTTCTCCTTTAACGGAATAAGCGAAGCCCGACGACTCCTACTACAACCAGCTTTAACCGCATCTCCGTCTTTACGGAAAATTGCGTAAAAGTTCGGATCGAAGAACTCAGCATCGTAGAAATTTTAGTTGAGCCAAGTCTCAGTTACAAAAAAACATCGCATTCACAATATGTGAGCTCACCATTCTTCTTAGTCCCGAAGTGTTTTTATAATAAATTTGTATGAGTTTATTAGGACAGGAACAAACAGCTAATTCTGTGGCGGTTACATCAACCGGCCAAATCTCAGGCAGTTTCTCATAACTATGTGCACTAACGCCCAGCTTAAAGTTTATATACCTAAAAGAATGAGCATTCGTCTCTTTTTTGACGAGTTTATAGCAAAAGATGTGCTTCTTCCGTATGCCTGTATATTTCTCCACGTATCCAGTAATATTATCAGTCGGTGAGAAGGAAGAAAAATTTAGCCACTTAAAGCCTGCAGCTACCTCAACCTCATGGCTCTCACCCGTTCCCACTACACGCGTTTGCTTTCGATTTCGCATACTCAAAAACAATCCAAGCAGAATCAACGGGAACCGGCGAAGAGTTCAATTGGTGCGAAGTAAAAAACGGCAATGGAAAATTATTGTGTGCTACATAATGTGACCAACTATTTCATAGCTCAAAGAAGTACAGCTTAGGTTGGGTTAAGTTAACGGAGCGAGCCGATTACGGAATTTCGAATGCGGCTAATTTTGATCCCTGAGAGCTCAGTGTTTGTTCAGAAGTCCGAGCCAAAATGCTTCCAACTTAGCCTCGCGAAGGTTGTACAGTGTAAAAGAAAGTGAGGAGATGATCCCACTTCATCTTCCTCTTGACGACTGATTCAAAAGGATCAGTTGAAGTTCCTAATCTCACAGCATGAATGTAACGTGTTTTAAGAGATGAGAGGTAACGTGTTTTAAAGTGCCCTATAAAAACATTTGCTGCAGCAGAGAAACGCCCTCTTTTCCTTTTTTATGTCACAAAATTACCCGGTTTCCCTTACCCTAATAGCAGTTCGAGCTGCGAAAATTCTGTCTACAATATCCACTGGCGCCGTGCTCAACATACATATGTATTTTACGCGTCAGTGTAGGTGTGGTTAATAATGCTCCGCTAATTCCCGTTTTACAATTGAAGCCTTCTCTCGTGAGTTCCACCAGACAAGGGCTCCTTGAAACAATATAGGCTCAAATCTGTTTCCCAAGGGCTTATGAATTAATTAAACGAGAAACCCTACTTTTTACCGATAGCTCCCCTACAGCAGTACAAGGCAACTGACACCTTTCCTACCCTTTCCTCACAGCTTCCACGATAGCCGCCGTTTATCACAAACCTAGTTACTTGGTTCAGGTAACCTGGGCCTGATCAAAAAGGGTGTATAGAAATCGTCTCTTAACCAAAAGTTCCACATCAACTACATAGGGAATCACCCGACAGCCCACTTTTTCCAGTTCTTCTAGAAAGCCGTTTACAACCGCAATCCAGAGCAAGGGAGAGAGAACACCCCCTTGTGGAGTACTCCTATTGACTCTGTACTGAGTGCAGACGATCCCCCACTCCGCCGGGACAGTTCTGTCACCAACTAAGCTGTATATGAGCCTTATTAGGTTGGTTTCCACCCCAAGATTATGAATATACTTGACTATTGTCTCTGGAATGACATTGTTGAAGGCCCCCTCGATATCGAAGAAGGCCTCTACTGCATAATCTTCATGCGTGAAGGCTTCCTCTGACCATTTTACCAATGTGTGCTGGGTGGTATTTACCGACCTTTTCATACAATAAGCATAATGAGCTCTTGAAAGACAGTCACAAGGAATCGCGTTTCTTATGTACACATGGTCAAAAATATGGGTTTAATTTTTAAACCGCGCTGGGACTACTGCCTTTTTTAATCTTTTATAGTCTACTTTTTAAACCAGTCAATAGTTTTAAGCAATTTTTAATATATTCTGGTTTAAATTTTAGTCCAAAAAGTTCGTGGTTTAAAAATCAAACCAAAATGTTTTAGACCTAGTTTCTAGGTTTCATATATAGAAAATTTCGTTTAAAATATTACATGCGTGACTGTAGCTGAGTGTGCAAAGATGTTTGATACAATTGGTTGCTACCAAGGCTGTCCGGGTTCAATCCCCTTCAGACAGAGCATGAAATTTAAAATTTTTTATTTTTTATTATTTTATCATACTAAAGCCAGCCTTTCGACATAAGCTACTGTTCCATACGAACACAGATATGTATTTATATTCAATTTATCCTTTTAGGTAAATATTATAAATGTTACTTTAAGAAATATTTAATTTAAGATTGTAATGCACTTTGTACGCAATATGTAAAAAACGTAAAAAAACTGAACTGGCATATTTTCTTGATAAAGAGCAACAAACTCCACTCAATTTCCGAATGTTATAGAAATTGGTCCATTTTTTCCCGTTTGGTCCATTTTTTGGACCGGAAAAAAAATTGGAAACGGCAACCGTGTTAGTGATACACCACCAGTGTTGGCAGGTTGACGATTTTGTCGTCATTTGGAAGATTTTTAACTGTCTTAACGATTTGAAGATTTCGACAAGCAAATGACCACTTTTTCATTAAGTGCAGTTTTTATTGCCAGCTGTTTTAGTGCCGATTTTTCGATTTTTTTTTTGTTTTACTTTTTCAGAAAATTATTGGGCTTTATACCCTATAACACAGAAATCTTTAACCCAAACTAAACGATTTTTATATGTGTATTCTGAAGTTAGATACCAAACTTCTCATTTCAGGCGTTTCTTTTGAATTTTAAGGTGTTTTGGGAAAGGGTTTCTTCTCCATATATCGTCACTACCATGTCAAACTATCGAATGTGCGCAAATGCTGTTCAATTGCGATACCTTGCGCATGCGTTTAGAGTGATACGCAAATGGGCAAATCGTCAAATTTCTAGTCTTCTTAGAAACAGAGGATACTGGCTTAAACATAGTTTTGAATCCCACACTTTTGCCTAATGACAACAACATTTTTTACAACAGTTTCTTTGCTCTCCTGAAGATTACCCATTTTCACATTCGATAGTTTGACATGGTAGCGACCATGATAAAAAACATTGTAAGGTAAAACCGTTCTCTCAACTCGTCGGCCATGATTTTTTTTTTGAAGTTTGCCAACATTTTAAAATCATATAAAATTGAGAGTGAAAAAAAGGAAAGGTTCAAAGTTGTTGTTGTTTGNAGCCAGCCTTTCGACATAAGCTACTGTTCCATACGAACACAGATATGTATTTATATTCAATTTATCCTTTTAGGTAAATATTATAAATGTTACTTTAAGAAATATTTAATTTAAGATTGTAATGCACTTTGTACGCAATATGTAAAAAACGTAAAAAAACTGAACTGGCATATTTTCTTGATAAAGAGCAACAAACTCCACTCAATTTCCGAATGTTATAGAAATTGGTCCATTTTTTCCCGTTTGGTCCATTTTTTGGACCGGAAAAAAAATTGGAAACGGCAACCGTGTTAGTGATACACCACCAGTGTTGGCAGGTTGACGATTTTGTCGTCATTTGGAAGATTTTTAACTGTCTTAACGATTTGAAGATTTCGACAAGCAAATGACCACTTTTTCATTAAGTGCAGTTTTTATTGCCAGCTGTTTTAGTGCCGATTTTTCGATTTTTTTTTTGTTTTACTTTTTCAGAAAATTATTGGGCTTTATACCCTATAACACAGAAATCTTTAACCCAAACTAAACGATTTTTATATGTGTATTCTGAAGTTAGATACCAAACTTCTCATTTCAGGCGTTTCTTTTGAATTTTAAGGTGTTTTGGGAAAGGGTTTCTTCTCCATATATCGTCACTACCATGTCAAACTATCGAATGTGCGCAAATGCTGTTCAATTGCGATACCTTGCGCATGCGTTTAGAGTGATACGCAAATGGGCAAATCGTCAAATTTCTAGTCTTCTTAGAAACAGAGGATACTGGCTTAAACATAGTTTTGAATCCCACACTTTTGCCTAATGACAACAACATTTTTTACAACAGTTTCTTTGCTCTCCTGAAGATTACCCATTTTCACATTCGATAGTTTGACATGGTAGCGACCATGATAAAAAACATTGTAAGGTAAAACCGTTCTCTCAACTCGTCGGCCATGATTTTTTTTTTGAAGTTTGCCAACATTTTAAAATCATATAAAATTGAGAGTGAAAAAAAGGAAAGGTTCAAAGTTGTTGTTGTTTGAGATTGAAAATGAGAATGTGTGTGAGAGTTTGTGTGTAAAATTTTAAAATTAAATTGCTTGCAAACGTCAAGAATTTGAAAAATTCCTCTCAGCGGGTAGAACCGCTATTTTTTTATCATGGTAGCGACGATATATGCAATGACTGAAAAATTTCAGTAGTAAGGAAAATGAAATGTGGAGATCCACTTCTACTGTGTTGCCATATGAGCAAAAATGGGAAAATTATATCTTCGCTTAGGTTTTAAGGCAGTTTTCTAATTTAAAAAGTTTGACATAAAAATTGCTTATGTAACCAAGTACCTCCAACACACAAGCATTAAAGAAATATTTTTAACAGGAAATTTGGTTATCAGTTTAGTTCATTAGATGATAATTATGTTTGTTTGTTATTTATCTAAATGCAATTAAACATATTTCTGTTATAAGTACGGTGACCATCCGTCCTGTATTATACGGGACAGTCCTCTTTTTTGACCCATTGTCCTGTCAATTTATTTATTTCATACGGGACGCCACATGTTCTGTATTTCTTTTAGTGTCCTGTATTTGTCCCGTATTCGGTGTCTCGACGCCTTAACAGCTTATTAAAATGACATGCCTATGAACTAGTTTTAAGTGATGTTGGTATATGATCATAATTTTCTCCATAAACAGTTATTATTTTCTAATCTGGATGCTTGTGTTTCGATTCGAGGAATACAAACAGTGACCAAAATATAAATTAGCAAGGTTGTATATTTTTCCTTGGTTTATTTAATGTTTATTATATTTTATGAAAATATAGCTATATAATATTGTTTAGGCGCGATTGCTAACACCAGGCGCCTAAATCCACGCCAAATACAAACAGTGACCAAAATATAAATTAGCAAGGTTTGGCTATTTTTCCTTGATTTATTTAATGTTTATTATATTTTATGAAAATAAAGCTATTTTCCTAAGAAAAACCATACAATATTGTTTAGGCGCGATTGCTAACACCAGGCGCCTAAATCCACGTTGTTGTTGTAATAGCATACACATTCCCCAAAAAGTTTTTGGCTAGTGTTGCTGGAGGGACAGTCCTTGGCCAGATATAAATCTGGGTCGTTTCGGTTACGTAGACCCGACTGAGGTGGGAACGCATCTAAATTCATGCTATGTACTGCTCCATGTGCAAACATTTCCTTCGTTAAATTAATGACATTTTTGCACATGCACTTGCAGAGATGGTAAATGAACTCTACCTCTGGCCATAGTGCCTACGTACTTTTTACTTAAATAAATAACCGAAGCTCGGCCTAGTCTGATGCATCCTCCGGACAATTCTTCTGGAACCATTTACGGACTCTGCATGACTTACAATTTTGTAGAGGTGGTTAAAGAACTTTACCATTGGACACAGTGCCTACCCACCATTTATGCACCAATAAATATATTTTTTTTTTATATAACTCGC